TAATAATTCTGTCTTGCTCCATTAAAACCACAAACTTGCATTAACATTAGAGACTCTTAATTTCTATGTAAATTTTGGTTGTTTCTATTTTGATGTCAGCCCAAGAAGTCATACGTCTGTGATTTCAACAAAAAGGAAAAGTTGTCATTTATCATGGGCTAAATGTTTAGTTGTATGTTACATGGAAAATATCGCAATTAATTACAGAACCGTGCAGACTTGTTTTACTTGTTAGATAAAATTAGGCCGACACTGTGGTTTGTTTTTATTTCATTTTTACTTGTCTGAAAAAATGCATGTCCAAAAACCTTGAGTTCCTTGTAATTTGTTGCAGATGGAATGAAAATGTCTTTTATTTTGAGCAAAAATTGATATTTTGTTAAAGAAACATTGAAACGTGTATTGTTTTTGCTGGCAGTTACACTTTTTGTCTTTATTCTGACATGCCTTAGGTGTATATAAATTTATGACTGACCCCTGCCTCTTTCTACAGCGCCCAATAGAAATATTAAGTATCCACAACAGTGCACAGCTTTTCCCACAGATTTCAGACCCCATTTGTTCAGTGAATTTTTGGCAAACAAATCTTGGAGCCTCATAATGGCTTTCTACTCATGGGACTGCCAGCTGTACAAAAAGCTGCTGATCACCTGGAAATACTGGGCTCACTAGACTATAATTTACGCTAGCCGTGTACTTTGAATGTTTTATGCAAGTGTTATGCATTTCAGCTCTGGATTGCATTTGTATTTAGGGTTTTTTTTCCCTGTTGTTTGCTGCCTTTTGGCCTCCGTGGAGACTAGTGGGTTTTTGCTTGAGTGTTATTAATTCCAGGTGAGCAGACAGCCATTATATGAAATTAATAGGAATTAAGGGAAGCAGCATGTTAGGTGAAATGTGGGATAATTCAGTTTCTTCACGGTTGCTTTGTGTGTGTCTGTGTGTGTGCGTTTGGGAGGGTGTGTATATTTTTATTAGGAAATGTATAATCAGGCTTTTAAATACGCTGTCAGTGCACGATGTTTGCTTTCTTTCTTTCTTCTTTTTTTTTCCTTTTTTTTTTTGTCTTGTTCAAGATCTTTGCTTTAACATTGCCCTGCGAAAAATTCACGCTCGTGATTACTGAGCAAAATTAATGCTCAAATTCAGCACTTAATTAACATCAGTCTACAGAGGGCATTTATTGTGAGAAGTATCCCCCAGCACTAAGAACATTGATTGCTACATGCTCCTGCGAGACCCGCTAGACTTCCAGGCATTTCTAATCATTGTTCGACACCTTGAAAGACAGACGCCCCCTGTTCAAAGTTAAAGACCAGCCTATGTCAGGTGCTTAAAAAAAACAAAAAAACATGTGACCTCATCCCTTCCTCACTCAGCTCCCCCTGGAGGTAGTGGCGCTAATTCCACCATTCCCATTTGCTCTTGGTCTGCTAATGATGATGAGACTCACACTTTCTCTCTCTTGCACTCTGGCTTGTCCCTTAAGGCTGAGCGATGGTATTTGGGATCGGACACTGTTTAGTTATTGGCCAACAATGGAGAATGTCTTTTAATAACACACCTACTACAGATTAGGTGGTAATTGCAGCCTTAATCAATAAGCTAGCTGAGCGGAAAATTAAAGGTACGTGAAGCCCGAAAACCCCCAATCCCCCCCCAACACACACACAAACACACACACACACACACCATGTTTTTTTTGTTATTAAGACCCATTGTTCAGATGCGGCCTATTGAGAATGCTGGAGGGCGAAAGCAGAGGGCTAGGAGCGAGGAGGGGATCTGACAGTGATAAATAGGCCTTTTAATAACAGCTGTGCCACATGGGTAGCCATTCTGATCCATTCCAATCCAAGCCGTGCCCATCGTCCTCCCTCCTGCCTCCTCAGTGAAAGAGCATTTACATTTTGCTGCGATCACTCAGTACTAGTTTGTAAATGAATTACAATAAACTTGTGTATGTGTGCACAATATAAAGACATCGTCTCAAACTCAACCCCTGCAAAAGCAGAAGACATCAACAAAACGCACATAAGTAAACACACACACACTCTCTCTCTCCCATGCTCACACACACTTGCGGTTTAACAGATGGTTTGGTTAACTGAAACATCAATTATTGCATTGCCTTGGCAAGCAACCGAGAGGCTCCAGAGTGCGTGCATGCACGTGTTAGTCCTGTAGGATATGAGTGTTTGGTGAGCTGTTGACCTGGAGGAGAAAAGGGTTAATGCTACACTCCTTCAGAACAAGCCCACAGGGCATTGGTCCTCGTCTGCAACAGATTTCCGCACAGCATGCTCACGTTTTTTACAAAAGACTGTGGATTAATTCTGGTGGCAGTTAAATAAACATTTTGTGTGTGTGTAATACTCTAAAATTAGGCCATGTAGTGTAGGGTCAGATCTTCAAATTTAAGGTTTTTCTACCTCTGTCGTGTGCTGATAACATTCTTGTACAGATATTATCTGTGAACTTAAATGCATGTAAAGTCATTTCAATTTAGTGTCACACTCGACTGTTTGTCATTTGCTTTTCCCCTTTTAGTACTGCAACACAATGAATGAACAACGCATGAATGGACTGCTGCCGGACCCTCTGCAGATTTTTCCAAGAGGTACAAAAGTGAGATGTTCCATTTTTATCACGGGCTAGGCGATGCTAACGGCTGCTTTGTAATTAACGTGGTGACAATTAATCACCAGCACCATTTAAATATATAAAAATATTCACACTTTATTTGTAAACGCCTATTTTACTAAAATTAGTGTACATGACCTGCGCTGTTTTCACAAAAATGTGAGCATTTGGTGAGTAGGAGTAACAGTGGAGCCTCTGGATAACATTAAAATTCAGCGGCTGGCTTTGTTGTTGAATGTCATTCATAAATCTACATTTCTTTTGCTCCAAGGGCATTCAAAGTGCATGCTTGTGTTCAGCTCAGGCTAAGCCTTGCCTGCATCTCTGGCATTGTGCAGTTTCTGTTCCTAAACTGGTTTTCATAATGAGGGCCTTTTCATAACATAGTTTTGCTATATTTTCAGCTAGTTTTCACAACGCTCAAAGACATACATAATCTCTAACAGGCCCTAGGGGAGATGTGATGAAACATTTTATTGTCTCCCTTTAGCTCTCTGGCTCACTCTGTTTCTCTCTCTATCTGCCCCTCTTTCCTCTAACGCTGTGATTGTTTTCTTTCTACCTAACTACCAACCAACCATCTCAAGAGACCAACAGCTCAATCACTCTCTTGTCCACAACTAATTTTTTAGTAACTCTCATTTCATCATTTTTTTCCTTCATGAAGAACTGATTCCTTTTCACCACATTTGTAAATGGCCCAGTGATGTGTTCTACAATCTAGTCAATTACTGTTTCAGCCGGCAAGACTCCAGGGATCCGGAACATACATGGCCTGAAGGTACCTATCTCAATAATTGTTTCGGCTGCCTTACACAGAGAAGGAGGGGAGGGGAGGGTGAGAAGTTGAGTCAAATGGATTGATAATGCTGTGTTCCACTTATTGAAATGTCAATTGAAGTCAAGGCTCTCCTTCTCTTTCACTCATTGTCTTGCTCCCCTCGACTATGTTTATGCATTAGCATATCTGGCTGCGGCTGTAGCAGGGCCTGTCTCTCTGCTTTTCCATCCGTCTCTCTGTATTCTTGATTCTCATGCTGCGATAGTCATTTAAGAACAAGGTGTTATCTCCCCTCCAGAGTATTATGATCCTCTCATTCCCTATGATAGAAAGAGTGTCAGCGTTGGTTAGAGAAAAAACTAAATCGGGCAATAAGAAGATGTCATTGTTCAACCATGAAATTGTCATTACAAGCCCCCAAATGGCCTCTCGCAGACCTTCCCATTTTATGTTAGGCATATGTTGCTATTGAAACTCACTGCTAATTACCATGGGTTAAATGACTTGACACCTCCTCCATCTCTCCAGATGATCCATATTATATCCATCTGCATTTCAATGATAAAATCACCTCACGTCCCTCTCGGTGTCGGTCGGTCGGTCGGAGAGTAAATCATCGGAGCCCCAGTGGGAGCTAGTTACCTCCCTCCTCCTCCTGTACAGCCCCCCCCCAACACCCCCCCGCAACATGGCTGAACGGCACTCCGACTCCCCGCCACACCGAGTC